TCAGAGGCGGCGGTTACGGTTAGGGGCTGGACACCCCGCCCGCCCCGGCCCCGTGCTCCAGGACATGCGGACGCCGCGGACGCCCTCCAGGCGGGACGGCCAGCAGCCACCCCGAAACCAGGCAGCGCCCCGAGACACACAGTTTAGTCGGGGTTACGGTTTAGTTCTGAGGAGAAGCCGGACCCGGGCTCCGGGCGCTGTACCTGCACTGCGTCCTGCACACGGGGCGCGGAGGCCCGGCCCCGGCTCCCCAAGGCTCCCGTCCCCTTACCGTGCGCCACTGAATTCTAAAAGAGAGGCACAGACAGCGTGACGGGGCCGGGCCGCGCCCGGCACCTCGGCCGCGCCGGCTGCCGGGAGGCCCCAGCGGGCGGCGCCGCGGCCCAGATACTTGCCGCTGAGCAGGGGCTTGTTGAGGGTGTAGAGGGGCGGCAGGCCCTCGATGCTGGCGATGCGCTGGTACATGGCGCGCGACAGGTGGTCGCCGTGGTACAGGCTGCCCAGGATGATGCTGGAGAAGTAGATGGGCTCCACGAAGATGCTCAGCAGGGAGCCCTGCACGCCCACCACGTTCCACCTGCCGAGAGGCGCGGCTGAGCGGGCTCACCCCGTGGCGCAGCGCCCTCTGCCGGCGGCACTGGGCGCGGGAAGGGAGGGCACCGGGGGGCGGGGCCGGTCCCGCCCCACCTCTCCCCGCGTGAACCGTCGCCGCTTTGTGAGGTAGCTCCGCGGCCCAGGAAAGGCGGGGACGGGAGTGTGCGTCATGGGGCGGTGCCTGGCCATGGGACACGCCCTCAGATGCCCCCCACCCCCCAACTCCTCAGCGCCTCACCAGCGGCCACGCTTTGTGAGGCGGTGCGCCGGCAGAGGGAAGGGTGGGAGTGGGGGTGGACCGGGAAGGAGGCAGTACTAGGTCAAACGGACACGCCCCCAGGCCCCGCCCCGCACACACCAGCACGCTTTGTGAGACGTCTTCCGGGTCTGGGAAACGGCGGGGGCAAGTCTGACGCCCGACATCTTCGACACACCCCTGAGGCTGGACTCCGCCCGCTAACCCCGCCCGGCTTTGTTAAGCAGCACGCGGAGAGGCGGGATCCAGCTGCGTTGAGGTCCCGCCCCCGTACCGGTCTGGTCCCTCCCCCTGAGACTTGATCTGTGAGCAGCCAAACTCTGGTGGCCAGCCAGGGCGAGGGGCGGGGCCAGGGCATCGGGACACGCCCCCAACATGTGATGGGGGGTCCCCTCCCTGCCTGCCTGTCCGCCTGGCGAAGTGGTTTGGGATGAGATTAGGCTTCTGTTCCTTACCTAATCCAGGTGGGAAAACCTCCTCCCCTCCACCTAGCCTTTCCCCATCACCTCTGTCCCCTTCCCAGAAAGCCTTCCTTCTCTATCCTAGTCCCTTCACTGTCTTTTCCCCCAGAAAATATTCTCAGACCCTTCTGTTGTTACTCTTACTACTTCCAATAGTGACTGGCAAAGTGAATCTAGCAGCACAGGGCCAATGCTTCTTTACACACAGACACACCCATCTTCCCTCTGAGCTCCTGAGCCCCATTCTCTTCAGGGGTTTCAGAGGGGCTTGGAGCAACCTCCAATCTTCCCAACTCCCACTCCTCTCTAGATCATGGTATTTAATAGTTATCCTTAATGATCCTCTGTGCCCACACTCCCATAGCCACCAGTGCAAAGATTTTAGCAAAGACCCCTAGTGGCACTGCCCCTCTCCCTATACCCCCATGGGCCTCCTTATATACCATCCTGGTTCCTCTGTTCACCCTCCAGATATCCCTCAGTTAGACTCCAGAGGCTTGAGTTCAGTTAGCCCCAAGCTTGAAGGATTACACTCCACAGAGATCTTGGGAATAGCTCAGCATGTGTTATAATAATGTAGGCATACCAACAGGACAGACACACAAAATATACCTACCCCCGTGTAAAATGTGCACCAAAACCCACTTGGGTTAGCCAAGTCAGGTGAGACTGGTGTGGGAGCGGTGTGAGGAACTGGTATGGTGTATTGAACCCAGATCCTTTATGGCCCAACTGGGGTCCAGAAGGGATTCTAACATATCCTTCCAGGGTGGCCTGAGGAGCTAGTCCTCCAAAGAGAGACTTCCTACTTTGCTCCTCTGAGAAAGTTCAGAGGCCAAGGGTTCCCTTCATCTTCTCTGTTCAATTCCCTGAGAAAGCAGCCGCCAGGGTCCTCCAGAAATAGCTGGAGAGGCCTCACATCCTACATGGACCACCCAGCTCATGGGAGGAGGCTGAGTGGAGGGCACACCACCATAGAGAAAGGGACTCCTAGGTCTTAACTTCAGTTCTAAACCCGGAAAGTGCTGAATTCAGGTGGTTCAGGTGAGGATGACATCGAGGTGGGCCTTTTCCGGGGCCCAGCGTTGCCAGGTGTCACAGTGGATCCTGAATGAGCATCCAAGGTAGCTGTGTCTTCTTCTGAAGTCGTTTTCTGTGTTCATGGAAGAAAAATAAACAACAGGTGATTAGGGGTTTCAGGATCTAGAGTTTCACCATGTTCTGAGCCTCAGACTCTCCTAGATCAACAGATCTTCACACACACACACACACACACAATCTCTCTGTTGTCCTGCTTTCTTTCTTTCAGAGTAGGAAACCAGACAGCCTAGGTTCCAACCCCAGATATAGCGCTTCCTACTAGTTATGACCTCATTCAAGTACTTTGCACTTGTGCGCCTCATCTCCTCTTTGGCACAATGGGATGAATGCTAGTAGTCCCAGATCCTCAGGTTGCTAGGTGGCAAAAAGAACAGAATAGATAATATGCCTGTCACACTATAATTGCTAAGTATTTGCTAAATGAGCAATGCTATTACTACTAATTTCCTACCATTCTTGAATCCCTCAAAAGTCTATCCTTGCCTCCATCTTGTAGGTTCCTGCCCCAAATGCCAGTGAAGAAAAGATGAACTTATTAAAACTGAAGCCTGTTTGGCACCAACTGGCAGGTCTCCACTCCCAATCCTACCCTTCCCTGGATGGGTGACCCCAGTAAGGCTCAGAACCAGCCTCAGTGGCCTTGTGTGTGTGTGTGTGTGTGTTTATGTGTGTGTCTATATAACTCCAATTTATACTGTGTTCTATAGTAAATCCTAGAACCTTAGTAGTCACACAGTACAAGCAGGAATGGTATCAGTTGCTTCTTTGTTGCTGTTGCAGCCAACAGCACTGCCTTCCAAGGCTTCAAAAAGAAAACATTGAAAATAGGCTGATGATCAGATATTTCACATTCAGGTTTATAGCAGCATGACTAACAATGATTAAAAGGTAAAAGCAGGACCCTCCCTGGTGGCGCAGCAGGTTAAAGCACAGCACTAAGAAGCTTAAGCCACTTCCACATCAGTTCGATTCCTGCCTGCCCGGGAGGCGATCCACATGGTGTGGCAGACCTCTCCTGACCCGCCTGCTGCTCCCCTCAGCAGTGTACTTCATCGATCTACCTGTTCTGCTCCCCACTCTGTCTCTGGTGAATCCTCTCACCCTCTGCATCTCTGGCCTGTACCCCCAGGTCTGTATGAATAAATAAAATCTTTAAAAAAAAAAAAGGTAAACGCAACCTAGTGTCCATTGACAGATGACTAATTATAAACAAACAACAGTCCTTTAAAGGAAAGAAATCCTGACAAATATTTCAACATGAATAAACCGTGAAAATCTTATGTCCTGAAATAAGCCAGTCACAACATGATGAACATTGCATGGTGTCATTTCTACATAAAATGTCCAAGACAGGCAGATCCATAGACAGAGTAGAATGGTGGTCGCCAAGATTTAGTGTTTAGTGGTTGCTTCAGTTTGGGAAGAGAGGAAGTCTGGAGATGGAGGGCACTGGTTGTGCGAAAGCATGAAGTACTGCTGTCATGGAAGTGGACATTGAAAATGGTTAAAATAGTAACTATTAATGCTATATGTGTTACAATTAAAAAAAAAAGAAACTGAAGACCATCCCATGCACTGTTCAGGAACAGGTGCACATGCATGATGCCATGAAGCCTAAGGACAGAGATGCTATTTTCACTTTTGCCCCCTCTGCAAGAAACAGTATGTGCGTAGAGGAAACAGTTGGAGAGGTGTTAAAGGACTGAAGAAAATGTTGCATATTTTGACATACAGGTGGATTTCATATTTTAAATTTTTAATGTTAAAATTTTAATATTAAAATATTGTTAAGGGGCCTCCCCTGTTGGCTCAGGGGTTAAAGACAGCATTATCAAGCTATTTATTGTCAGTCACTACAGCATGAGTTCAGTTCCAGGCCAGCGAGGGAGCTGACCCACACGGTGCAGCAGACCTCTTCTTTCTTACCCTCTGCCCCCTCAGCAGTGTACTCAGTAGATCTGCCTGTTCTGCTCCCCACTCTGTCTCTGGTGAATCCTCTCACCTTCCACGTCTCTGGCCTGTACCCCAGTTCTATATGAATAAATAAATCTTTAAAAAAAAAAGTTCATTTAAACCTGCTTTTCTCTGTTTTCCACTAATTCACTTTAAATACCTTTACAAAAAGAGGAGTGGTGAGGAATCACTTGGCTGGTAACCTGAGTGTGGCTGCTTCTCACAGAGCGTTTTAGAACTTGCCCTGTCTGTTGGGTTTTTCTTAATCTCCCTGTCTTGCATCTGTTCCAGTCTTCCACTTCTGCCAACATGCTGCATCAGATCACCCACCACTTTGTCTGCTTGGATCAGTGCCCTTATCTCAGCCACCTATACTACCCATCCGTGGCCAGAGGGGGCCCAATTGGGTCGCATTCCTCTGATAGAACCCTCCATAGCTCCCACCTCACTTGGAGTCAAAGTCAATGTTCTCCTTGAGGCTCCCCTTAGTTCCTCACTCTGCTTCATCCCAGTTACACTAACCTGTGTCAAGAACATGCTTTCAGGTACTAGACTTATGACACATGCCAGTGATTTCAGTCTTCTGTAGCTACTGCTGCTATCCATTTCTGATAATCCCTGACTCTCCCTGAGCTTCCTGGTCACTGCTACCCCTTGTAGTACCATCTCTTCTCCCCCCACCCGACCCCCCATGTAGAATTAAGATGCTCTGAAGAAGTAAGGGCCTTGTCTTATTCTTGTCCAAACATCCAGGAAGAGTGTGTGGAGGCTGACTCTATCCTCCACCCTCTGCCTTATCACAGTGCCCTAAGCACTCCACCCCAGGCTCACTGGCAGCAGCCCTGAAGCACTCATTCGTCCAAATGGGACTCTGAGGCCACTTCAAGGTGTGGGAGGGGTGTGTCACCTTCACTGCAGCCCTTTCCCTTCCTCTGTGTAGAGACAGCTAAACCATTTTTTTGACCCATGAGATCTATGATTCAGATAACTGTTTTGTTTTTTTGTTTGTTTTTTTAAGTGTAAACATCAAGGCCACCCCAAGATGCAGCTGTACAGAGGAGTCTTACCGTTGTTCAGATACCAGCCCTGCCACTGCGTGACCTGAGGCATACACCTCACTAAGCAGGGAGGGTGTCCTTGAGAACTCCTTCCTGAAAAAGTGGAACATTTAAGCTGAAATCACTGGCATGTGTCATAAGTCTAGTACCTGAAAGCAGCTACCAGCTTGCCCTAAGTCTCCTATCACTATTCTGGAAGAGAACACTGACCCAAACAGCAATCACCCTCAGTGGTCTGTCTATTGCCATGTGAAGACCTGGACAAGGCCATCTTTAGTCCTCTGAGATTTTTCAGAACCAACACTCATGTCACCAACAAATCCCTGCTCAGTGATTCAGGGCTTGTCCGAGGCTCCCAAAGTGCAGAGACTTAGCCTGGTGGTGGCCCCCATTTCCCATGGCTAGTACAGTCATTAAAACCAGGACCAAGAAACAGAACCACTTACCATGGAGATGGCAAACAGGGAGTTATCGAAGGACATGTCTGAAACAAAGAGAAAGGAAGCCCAGGGTCGTGATCACTTCAATTCCCAGCTCACTGTTCTCGCCTTGCTCTAATCTACCCCAAGTCATCCCTGAGAAAGAGCAAGAGTCCCATCTCCTAACACCCTCTGTGCTCCCTCCCACTCATTCTTCTGGAGGGAAGGTGCACAATGAACTGCTCAAAGTCCTCCTTCAGGGGTTTCTCACTGACACTCCCCCCTGAGGGGTGGGTGGAAATGAGTCACCCATTTCGATTCAAAAGGCTGCTCACACTGCAGCTTTACTGGAGCACCTCTGAGCTCCTCCACCACCCCTGGCTCTCCCACAATCACCCCGCTACTCCCTACTCTTCCAGAAGTTCTCTGCAGGAAGACCGCCCTCCCAGCCTCACCAGGTATCCAGACCACCACCAGTTGTTTCCCCCCTGGAGTATGAATGGCCTTGTGGACAGAAGTCACCTCTGTCTTGGTCATCGTGGAACACCCCTCCCAGATCTTGTCCCACACATTTATTGAGCCTAATGGGTGCTCAATCAATGTGTGGGACAATGGAGGAAGCACAGAGAACAGAGTCTAACAATTTGATACTTTTTCGAACCACCCGGCACTTCGCAGACTGGCTGCCGCTGCCCCCTGGTGGAAATCAGCAGAAAAACACATTCTGAGCCACCATGGGCTTCAATTTAAGGAGCGAAGGAGACTCCAGGATAGACTGGATGGTTGGAGGGCATCCAGATGGAGCCTATGTTTGTCCCATATAGAGCTGAGTGGTGGATCTTGTTATAGAAAGCATAGCCTCTGGAAATGGAGTCAGGAAAACCTTCCCAGAGGAGGTGACTTTAGACTGATACTGGAGGGCAGAAGAATGTTTTAGGGCCAGGACCCAATGAGTTGGAAGGCCTGAGGACGAGGTGTGGTGAAGAAGTTAGTGGTGAATGAAACTTAGTGAGGAAGAGGTGGAGAAGAGTGGGGATTGTGTTCTTGACTCTAAGGGATTTGAGCTACAACGAAGAGATATGAGTAATAAAATAACAAGTAATGAGACCTGATGGTATTTTTAGGAGGTGACCCACGGGGGGGGGGGGGGACCAGAAATGAGGAGGGATCACAGACCTGTGTTGGTGAAGTTAATCTGGGCCCAGCACGATTCTTGCTCTCTGCAAATGGATACCAGAGAAAATGACCACTCATTTGGTTTGACTGATGAGGCAGAAAGCTTGTTCTGGGAAGCCCCCACCCCAAGTTTGACCCTCATTCTCCACCAACACTGAAATTCTCCCTATAAGTGCTTGCACAGGGCAAATTCTAATTGCTGTGAGCAGATCCCTTCTCATGTCCTGAATCCCCAGTACCACTCAATGCCCATCTCGAAATCTAAGGGATGGAAATTCTTTCTCAGGAGCTGCACAGCCAGATGAAGTAGACTTTGATACCTGTGGTGGCTGTTAGCTCTTCACCAGGTTTCCAGATGGGCACCCTGCAACCCAGAGGGCACCACCAATCACTTGTAGAGTGATTATGACAATTTTAGGCAGCCAGCCAGGGGTAAAGGGATTTTTGTTCCCTGTGTGACTGTGCACTAAGCCTTAGTCTCCATGCTGTAAAAATGGTGTTATTTATAGTGACTGCTTCCAGAACGGCAGTGAGCTTAGGATTCAGAGCCCAGCACATGGTGGACACTTCATCAAAAGCACCTATTGCTAATAAGCAGCTGTCCCCATCAGGGAAGTTCCATTTGTCTGGTTCAACAGCCTTCAGGACTGAACTCTGCCCACAGACTGAGCTTTTCTTCCCCCAAAACAACCCTCAGAGGGTCTACAAGGATGGTCTCACCTTTTCTTCTGTAATTTTTTTATTTTAACTGGAAACAAAAAATAAATATGCATTGGTTAGATTTTGGTCCTTGTTGCAAAAGTCTACATGCCAAAAAACAGAAAGCACCCTTCATTCATTTGCCACCCAACCTCGCTTTCACCCCTTCACAGACAGTTACTGCAACCCCACACCCACAGTTACATGAGTGACAGACATTGTTAAAAACATCAAATAAGAGGACTCCCTGGTGGCACAGGGCTTAAAGACAGTACTATGAAACTACCCGCAGCTGCTGTAGCTCAAATTTGATCTCTTACCAGGTAGCTGACCCACATGGCACAGCAGACCTCACCTGTCCCACCCACTGCTCCCCTCAGCAGTGTATTTCAGTACATCTACCTGTTCTGCTCCTTACTCTGCCTCTGGTAAATCCCCTCACCCCCTACACCTCTAGCCTATAACCCAGCTCTTGTATGCATAAGTAAATCTTTTTTAAAAAAGTCAAATAAGTTGCAAGAAAGTAAAATTGGGGTTGTTTTAAAAAAAATAAAAAGTATTAATGTCAGTGTGTACTAGAGGCTGAAGAGGGGAAGGAGAAATTGGTGTTTAATGGGAACAGAGTTTCAACTGGTTAAGATAAGAATTTGGAGAAAGATGGGGGGAACAGATGGTAAAACAAGGGTTAAAAGTGGCAAATTTTATGTTATGTCTATTTTACCATATTAAATATACATGTATGTATGTATGTAGTCCCCCTACCCACCACCACCATTGCATTTCTGGGGGGGCTCTTCTCTGCTAAATTTAGAGTAAGACCTCCCCAAACCATCTGTCTCATGCTCCTTAAAAAATGGGTGTCGGCCCCCTCTCTCCCCTCTCCCTCTGCAGAGCTGCAGCCTCCTGCCTGCCCGGGACCTGCACCTGCCAGGGCTCCTTGCACTGACCTGCCTCAGCAGAGGCCGCTCTCCTAAGACAGCATGCCTGCAGCCACACAGGCCTCTCTCTCTGCAACCTGTCCCTTCGGGGGCAGCTCTTCCGCCTACTTGCAACTATGCAAGTGTCTTTTCCTCTCCTGTCTCTTTCTAATAAACTTACTCTTAAAAAAAAAATGGGTGTGGAAATAAGCCAGAAAGAAACAGAAAAACACAGGATGGTTTCATTCATAGCAGGAGCGTAAGGGATCAGAAAAAGAAAGAAAGAAAGAAGGGGGGAGAAAGCAATTGTAATAAAATAAAAATGAAAAACAATGAATAACTATAAACCAGAGACATTCTATGGATGTAGAGAGGGTAACAGGATCAAAACTGGGGTGAGAAGAGTGCATGGGACTATGGTGACAGCACATGGGTGAATTGGTGGTGGGAGGCCCATGGGGAATACAGCCGAGATGAAAGAAAGAACAAAATGAAGAATGATGTAAAAATAAATAAATTTAAATATTAAAAAATGGGTGTGAAAAACAACAAGAAAATAAATAAAAAACCCCATGGGTGTGTGGGTGCATACACACTCCAGGGGTTGCACACTGGCAACCTGTGGGTCAGCTTTCTTTGCCTATAGTTACCTTTCCTGACCACCACAGCAACGATCACCAGCCCAGCAAGGAGGAGGAAGGCTCCAGCCAGGCTCAAGGACAGTACCAGGATCCAGGTGGGCACTAGAGGAAAGTAGAAAAAGAGAAAGTAGGCAGGTCATAGAGCTCTGGGGGTGCAAGAAGAAGGTGGGAGACCTGTCGTTTCTCCAGGTTACCCTTGGGGAGCCACTCTCCTTCATACCCTCAACCATGTGGCTTGGGGTAGCTGGACCATGAGGACCCTGGAAACCTTGGTAGGCCCATTATCATAGTCCTTCTCTCTGGCCATCATGACTGGCTCAAGGATAGGCATGTGACAGAAGCTAACCCAGTGAAAGCTTTCTATGGGCCTTTGGCTAGACCCCTGGGGAAAAATATTTACTCTCCTGGACAGCGTTTAAAAGCTGGGAGGGAGGTCTCCCTGGCGGCAAAAGGGGTTAAGTATTTGCACTATCAAACTACTGGTGCCACTGCAGAATGCTTTCCATCTCCAGCCAGGGAGGTGACCCTCATGGTGCAGCAGGCCGCTCCTGTCTTGCCCGCTGCTCCCCTCAACAGCGTGTTTCAGTAGATCCACCTCTTCTACTCCCCAATCTTTCTCTAGTGAATCCTTTCACTGCCTCTCCCTTTCCCCCCAATATCCCTGGTCTACACCCCAGCTCTTACATGAATAAAATAAAATAAAATAAAATAAAATAAAATAAAATAAAATAAAATAAAATAAAAAGCTGTGGGCCCTCCCCAGTGGCACAAAAGGTTAAAGTGAAACACTATGAAGTTATCTCTCCTGTCCCACCTACTGCTTCCCTCAGTCGTGTATTTCAGTCAGTCTGCCTGTTCTGCTCCCCATTCTGTCTCTGGTGAAGCCTCTCACCCCTAGCACCTCTGGCTTGAACCCCAGTTCTTGGATGCATAAATAAATAAATTTCTAAAAATACATCTAAAACTTTTGTTCATGATTTTGTCACCATGAAGGGGAGGGTCTGCCTGAGAATAAAACACAGAAGAAAGCACAGCTGCGAGGTAATAAGTTATTCCTGCTGTCTTTGTGCACCTGAATCCAGCCATGCCTAAAGTCAGACTATGAACTGACTTCTGTAAACCAACAAATCCTTTTTTGTAGCTGAAGCCAATTTGAGTCAAGTTTTCAGTTACTAGGAGACTGAAGAGGACTACCGGCTTTAGCCTGGGTCAGCCAAAATCCACCATTGGTCACACAGTGGACCCTGAGGCTCATGCTGAGGTCATGCTGGAAACATGAAGACCCAGCTCTACAGTTCACTTAACTGCAAAGGAATCAGGCATCCTTCCCTGGAGGAGGAGGGAATCTTTTAGGGAAAGTCTGACCCCAGTGGAAATCAGGAGCTTAACCAGGAGAGAGAATGAATGAAGCACGCTGGGCATTCTCACAGTGCTAATCTTTGTTCATTCATTTGGGACAGAAGAGATGTTGCCACCTTCCCACTCTGAGACCATAGACCCAGGTGAGAGAAGGCACCATTTAGAGTGGAGTATGAAGCTGGCTGGGAAGGACACAGAGACCCTTTGTGTGCTTGTGACATGTGGGCCTCTGCTGGCAACAAAGTTTATTTGCAGCAGGAAAGTTCTGATTGGTGGTGATTCAGAGGCTACATCTGGAGGCTATTCCCTGTGCCCAACTCTGAAATCCACAGTGCATGCCCAATCCCTCTCCTGGAAAGACATCACCTCTCCCAGGGTTTCAGTATCAATTAGTGAGAAAGCCCAAGTCTTTGCTACAGCCAGGGACCCAGGACAAATCTCCTTAACCACTTTACCACCCTCATGACCGCCCATTCTCTACACCACATTTCAATCCTTACAGGATGTCTCTATGTTCCTCAGACACACCAGGTATGCTCCAGCCTCAGGGCCTTTGCATGACTGCTCATTCTGCCTGGAACACTCTTGCCCCAGATACCCACACGTGGTTTCTTCTTATCATTTGGGTCTTTGCTGAGAGAAGAGCCACTTTCCTCTCTAAAATGACACCCTACCAGGCTGTATTTCATCCTTGAAACTGAATATGGTAATGAATAGAACAATGACATGTTGGTCTGTGGGTGTAGCATACAAGGCTCTTTTAAGTTGGACAAGAGTAGGACATTTGATCTCCCTGGAGGGCAATAGGTATAATGTGCTTTGTGCCCCAGGGGCTGATCAGTGGAACACCTTGTTAATAAGATTGGAGCAATGGGTGGGAGTCAGGTGTGTATCATTAGACTTTCCCACCCTAACACCCAAATCCAGTGTTTGACCCACCTTTCTCTGTCAATAAAAAGGCCAGGATCCAAGCATCATACTGCAGTGCACCCTACAGGCTACTCCATGACTCCTCTTTCTTTGTCACTGTGGTGTTGCTGACACAACATTGGTCAGCGATAAACCACATTCATCATGTCCTATTTTCTTGTGACATTCTATCATTTTTCCACCAGCTGCAGCCTCATACATCGCTTACCAAATGTCTCAATAGTATCATTCCCCTTGGGCTTGACTTAATCTGGTATTGTTTGTTCATCAGCAACTCCTACCCATACAAAATCCACTGACTTCACACAATGACAAAATCTAAAGCATTTCTCAGAAGTTCTCCCAGTCTTAAGCCACATGTGACTGTATTTTTTTGACTCCTTATTATTTATCATCTATCCCCACCCACTCCAGAATGCAAACGAGCAGGGACCTAGCTAACTTACACCACCAATGACAGTGACTGGGGTGTAGTATCATGTGGCCTGGAAGGATATGGAGGTTAACTCTCCCACCTACTAGCTGTGTAATATGGGGGAGTCCCTTCATCTATTATACCTCAATTTCCTTCTCTGCACAAAGGAGAATAGCCATGCTCATTGCATGAGGTGTTTGTAAAGACTAGAAAAGGAAAGGTGAGTAAGCTCGGGTGAGTTGGAAACCTGGCTCATCCTGCAACCACCTCCAAAGGGAGGGAATATCACATGCAAAGCCTTGGGGTCAAGAAAATGGAGCCCACTGATGGGTAGGGCGAACGGGAGGGCCTTACCTGGGAAGGAGACCTGCACAGCTTCGCTGAGGTCTGACATCTGCTGCTGCTGGTGTTCGCCAAGCACACCATACTGGCAATGGAATGTGCCCCCTGGACTTTCCCTGCTACCGCCACTCAGGTTGAAGGTGACTCCAAGCTGGTCCGCAGGAGCCTGTAGGAACTGGACCACTTGCCTTCCATGATATAGTGTAAAGTTTGCCCCTGGGAAGCCACCAGGGGCCATACATGCAATATAGATGGGGTCCTCTTGGCTGCTGGGGTGGGGCGGCACCAACAGGATGGATGGTGCTGGGATCACCAAGGAACCTAGGCATAAAGTGAAGGAGGTGGGGTGGGTGAGGTTGACCTGGTTGTGTGGCCTTAGGCAAGTAGCTCTGGCCCTTGTTTTCTATGTACAACTGGAAGGCAGTGATCCTTACCCATCAGTGTTTTAGGCACTGTAGTAGGTGCTAGGGATAGAACAGTGGCTGAGATAGGAGACAGAGCCTGGTTTGGGTAGCAGGAATTCAAAAGGAGACACAGAGCTAGAAGAGAGCATTCCACAGAGGCATAGTAAAGGCCAGGAGTCTGGAAGGGGAATGGGATATTCAAGGAAATCAGGGTGTCTGAGGTGGTGAACAAGGGGGAGAACAGAAAGAGGTGCTGAACAGACAGAGCCTCTGTCTTGTTTCCCAGGCCATGGTGAAGAAAAAGGATTTTGGGGTATTGCTTCTTGTGAAAGAGGCCTATGTCCCAGATGCCCCCATGTTCCCTGAGCAGAGTGTCTTGGTGCAGATGAAGTCTATATAAGCCTTCCCTTGTCCAGCCCCCACCTTGCAGATCCTCCTAGGACCTCAGCATTGGAGACAGGAGCCCTGAGGCTAGGCCCGAATCATGGGATATGGGCTCTACTGTCTCTGTTAGGTTTCTATTTCTGATATTCTTCACCATGGGGGTGATGGGAAGCCCGACAAAAGGAAGTGATGCTCCTGACACATTTCTAAGGCACTTAAGAAAGTATGTTAGGGCTCAGTCTCCTCTCGCTCTTGGGAGGGTAGCCCTGTCATGGTTTCTGACCCCAGAGCACAGGCCAGGAGGAGGGTAGAAGCAGAGCAGGGTTAGCACAGGGGGCATCAGGCTCACCAGCTGCAAAGAGCAGGACAGTCCAAGGCATGTCTTCTCCAGAGTTTGACTGGGAAATCTGGCTGAGGCCAGTGCGGTCCAAGGCTCACCGCCAACTCCTCCTGTGGGGCCAAAGTGGAGAAAGGAGAAGCGGGACTGATTCGAGCAGAGTGTTTCCTCACTGGCAGGAAGTTGCACATACACACTTGAGTGCTGAAAGGGACTCTCTCCCTCCCCGCCCCTTTCACAGACGCACACTAGATCCTGGCAACTTTCTGCACCTTGGTGTCATGGTGGGAGGGACATATGGATGACAGTGTGTTTATTCTTTTTCTCCCAATGAGAGAATATCTCAGTAGGAGAAAGAACAAGGGAAGTGGGCCATTTGGGAAACCTTTGCCAGATACACAAACTGCAGGCCAACCATGCCCAAATTGAAATGCATGTGGGTGGAGGGTGGTAGGGCTTGGCCTCTGTAGTCTCAGGCAAACCATGGTTCTTGAAACTTCAGAGTGCTGCTCTGTAGAATGAAGCTAAGAGTAGCAGACATTAGATACAAAGAATTTACAGTATGAAGTGCAATATCCAGTGTGATGTGAATGATGCCTGTATGGAGCTCCAGAGAAGAAAATTTTAGGAGCTTCAAGCACCAGGTGAGAGAGAAACTTTCAAAGGCCTAACCTACCAGTAGGTTAGGTTAGGTCTCTCTAAATATTTGTGTTCAACTCAAGCAGATTCATCTGACAGTTTACACCCAGAAAGGGCCCAAGCTTGTATTCACCAAATGCCACTGGACTTTTTTCTTTGGAAACATACTGCTCATTCCAATTCTCCCCTGCGTCTGATACAATTCTATATATCTAGTCAAATCCCACTTCTTCAGGTTTCAGTTTAAATATCACTTCTGGGAAACCTTTTAAGATCTTTTTGAACTTAGACAAATCTCCTCACTTAATCCTCTTATAGTGTCTTGTTATTTTTCTTTGATTTCAATTAGCATGCTCCTGTTTTATAGGAATTTGCTTATTTCATCTATCTTTTTAAATTTGTTGAAATAAAGATGTTTATATTTCTTTAATGCCTGTAGGGCCTGTAGTAATGTCCCCTCATTCATTCCTAATAACAATTCCCCCCCAACACTTTATACTTGGTTAGTCTTGTTCAGTGTGCATTAATTTGTGTGTGACTCAATTTCATTAATTGTTTCAAATTAATAAATTTGTATTCAATTGTATCAATTTTTGGCTTTTTTTTTCTATTTTCTGTTTCACTATTTTTATATTTTATCCTATATATTTTTCTTTCTTCTAGTTACCTCATGCTTCATCCGTTTTCCTTTTCTTGGTTTAAGATGGACATTTTGATCATTGACTTTAGACATCTATCTTCTAATAAAGCATTTAAAGTTATAAATTTCAGGCCTCCCTGGTAGCGCAAGGGGTTAAGCACAGAACAATGAAGCTATTTGCAGTCACTACAGTATGATCCTGGACAAGGGAGCTGACCTACAGGTGAGGCAGACCTCGCCTGTCTTGCTCACTGTTCCCCTCAGCACTGTAATTCAGTCAACCTGATTTTCTGTTACCCACTCTATCTCTGATGAGTCCTCTCACTCCCCACATTTCTGGCCTGTACCCCAGTTCTTGCATGCATAAATAAATCTTTAAAAAGTTATAAACTTCTAAGTACTGCTTTAACTGCTTCTCACACATTTTGATATATTGTGTTTCATTATTAAGTTAGAAACATTTTATTTCCCTCGTGAATTTTTTTCTATAATCAAGGTATTTAGAAACTTACTTATATATGTGTTGCTTAGTTTGCAAGTAGACTTTTTTTGGTAGATTATTGCTAGTGAATTTGCTGTCAGAGACTACTCCATATAATCTAATACATATAATCTAATACTTGAAACTTATATATATATATATATTATAATAGTTTATTTTTACATCATTTTGTACATTTTTTCCTTCTCAGTTGTAATCCCTGTGTGTTTCCCATCACCAATTCACCCATGTGCCATCACCATAGTCCAGTGCACCTCCCTCCTCCCACCATTTTTGATCCCATCCCCCACTCCACCCCCATAAAATGTCTCTGGTATATGGCTGTTCATTATTCTTATCATTTTCTCGCCTGGTCCATTATACTCCTGTTATGAGCGAAACCATCGGTATTTATCTTTTTCTTTCTACTTATCTCACTAAGCATGATCTTCTCCAGTTCCATCCATGTTGCTGCAAAAGACACACGTGCTTCTTTTTTTTTGGTTGCTGAGTAATATTCCATTGTGTATATGTACCACATCTTTTTAATCCAGTCATCTACTTTTGGGCATTTGGGGTGCTTCCATATTTTTCCAATTGTAAATAAAGCAGCAATAAACATGGGCGTTCAGGTATCTTTTTGAATCAGTGTTTTTGTGTCTTTTGGGTAGATGCCTAGGAGTGGGATTGCTGGGTCATAGGGAAGCTCTATGTTTAGCAGTTTGAGGAACCTCCAAACAGTTTTCCATAGTGGTTGTACTAGTGAAACTTATATTTTTAATGTTCCAGCATATCTTCATCTATATTCTATGTGCACTTGAAATGAAAGTATACTGTGCTCTTGTCTGGTATAATATTCTGTAAATAATAACTATATTAGGTCAAGGTTGTTCACACAATAAAAGTGAATGTATGAACTTCATTCAGCTCTCTTCTTCTAGGAGTATAGAACCTGTGTTGTCCCCTGCAGTTTTCCAATATCCACCACCCTGCTTAGCACATAAATGTTTGTGATTATCTGACCTGAAAATAAGGAATGTTTTTCAGTCTATTTTTGTGGCTATATGCTAGGTGTGTAGAAGACAAAGTTAAGAAACAGGGGCTTTTGTATAAAGTATAAAGTTAAGAAACAGGTGCAGTGCTATCAAGCCACTGCAAAATGAGTTTGATCCCCAGCCAAGGACCCACATGGTTCAGCAGACCTCTCCTGCCTTGTGCACTGCTCCCTTCAGCAGTGTACTTCAGTAGATCTACCTGTTCTGCTCCTCATTCTGTCTCTGGTGAATCCTTTCAACCCCCATACCTCTGGCCTAGATCCCAGTTCTTATATGCATACATAAACACATCTTTAAAATAGACAAAGTTAAGAGATATTTCTGGTTTATTTATTCCACCAGCTGTTTACTAAGTGTCACCAAGCACAGAAATATGCTAGGTGCCAGGGTTGTTGCAATACATGAAACAGCTCTTCCCTGAAGAAGTGCAGAGTTTGGTGAAAGAATGAGACTGTACACAGTGGGAGTTCAGGTGGTATGTTGTGTTGAAAGAAGCTGTAACTGAGGGGGTGATCTTGACCCAGTTTTAGCAGGCCCAGCAGGCTCAGAGTTTCTGGGAGGAAGTGATATCAAATTCCAAAAGTCAGAGGAGATGGAGAAAGAACATCCTAGATAAATGGAATATGTATGAAGGGTTTGGATGTGTACAAAGACTTCATCATGGAAGCATTTAACGTGGAAGAATCTACAACTGGAATTTTGAATTCAGATAAATAGCCACACATACCTGCATTAGACAGCTATCACACAGGTGCTAATTTGCAGAGGCATGACTATAAATTCATGGGCATAGTGGTGGGAGATCAACAGGGGATGGTAAATCTCTGGAGTCTGGGAGCCATCAACAATCTAGGTCTGAAGTTGCTGGGGAAGAATTAGTCTTGGAACTTGGAAAGAGCTGGAGTTATAGGCTTTGGTAGAGATATGCAGATGAACAGGGTGGGAAACAGACCTTCCTCTGCTCTAACTTTCAGATCTCCTACCAGAGCCTAACTTGAAGCAAGAGGAACTGGCTGCCAGGGTGATCAATTTCTGTGGCATGGAGTAGTGCTGGGAATTGTAGAGAACAGATATGGGGGTAACACACTCACATTTCTCTTCTAGCTACTCCCTTTACCTAGCCTGGTTCCTTTCTGCTCCTGGAGCTTTCTGAGTATATTCTCACTCATGGGCACTGTTCTGTTTGCCTCCTCTACCTTCTACTTCAAGTCTGAGCTTTAATGCCATCTCCTCTGGGAAGTGTTCCCTGACTCCCAAGCAAAACAAGCCACCCAACCACCACCCCCTCGCATTACTCCTTAGTACCTACTCTAGTGCTGAACTTGTTTGTATGCTGTGTTAACTCCTATGCAGAGGTGACAGCACCATGAAGAGTTTTATTCAGTGTCAAAAACTCTGTGAAGGGTTGTTGAATCATTGGAGAAGGTGAGGGTCTTTATTTAACCAAAGGAGGAAACAAGAATCAACCACTGAGGTCTTGGATATCAATGAAAATGGTGGTAGCTCCAAGGGCCTTTCCCTCCACCAAAAAAGCTACAAATTAAGCAAAAACAGTAAGAATCATCTTTATCCAAACTCTGGAAAATTACCAAGGGCCAGTCAAGCCCAATGCTTATTCACAAGGGAACTTGACCTTGGCAGGAGAGCTTTGTGGTGTTCTCCCTGCCCTTGCTTTCCTCATTCCCCAGTGCAGCAGAGTCTATGTTCCTATTATGGGACTCTTGGCCCCAGGTTCTTGAGGAGAGAGTTTGTGTCTGTGTTCTACTGTGGGGATAATCTGACAATCGACACAAAGTGCTTGTCCATTTAGTTCAGAATGCTTTCCTGGAAAACACCCTTAGGCAAACGAGGAACTCAGTCTCCTAGGGCAATAATGAAAAGGAAAAGTGGGGTAAGGGTTTCTTTGGGTAATTAGACATGTTCACATAATAAGAAATTTAGAAAGCGATGTACATGCTAAGGACAAGTGCTCAAAGAAGCCCTGAGAGACTGAGTTTTCATCTCTAGTTGACCAGGGCAAACAGAAAGTGAAAGCTAAGGCAGAGTGGTTTGTGCTCTGGAGAAGGACAGAGGAAAGAAAGAGTACTCTAGGATAGATCTGCAAAGAGTCTGGGACACTTAAAAAAAAGATTTATTTATGCATACAAGAACTGGAGTGCAGGTCAGAGGTGCGTGTTCACCAGAGACAGAATGGGGAGAACAGATCTACTGAAATACATGGCTAAGAGAAGCAGCAGTGAGACAGGAGAGGTCTGCTGAGCCATATGGGTCAGCC